TTCCTCTCGTTCTTCAGAGGAAAGAAATCCTAAATTTACGAGGAACTTCATTTGACTGTTTATGGTTTAAAATGCCATGTTGATGTGCCAAAAACATTAATTTTTGATGTTATTATACCCCCTGCTTAAAAAGCGGGAGGGTAAAGGATCGGGATTTCCGTCCGTCCGTCCGTCCGTCCGTTTGTCCGTCCGTCCTTGTACGTCCGTCCGTCCGTCTGTTACGCTTTTTCTCTTATCCGCAACTCCTCTTATACTACTGAGTGAAATTGAATGAAACTTTCACAGAATCTTCATTACATACTGCTATTGTGCACCTCCTATTTCACTTTTCTATTCGACACGTATTTTAGGTTTTCCAGAGCAAAACATGGACATTGCCATTTTTTGTTTACCTATGACGTCACGTAATAGAAGGTTCTGGATAACATTTGACGGGACGAGTTATTCCCTTTACACATTACCGTAAAACAATAAAAGAACACATCGACATTATGGGAGGCGGGGGGGATATTTAGTGAGCTCATTGCTCACAGTACCTCTAGTTTGTTGTTTCAATACAATTGAATATTTATTTATGATAATACATGTAATCCTGTTAAGTTTTAAATAAATAATGAGATTTTGGATTCCGTTCATTGACTTTATTAAATTAAATGTAAACATTATATGCTCATGCATTACTTATTTATATAATGAAATGTCATTTTAAAATATTTTGCCAAGTAAAAAATTAGATAATTTACTTGGGAGATTCTTTAAAGTCTGAAACAATATTCAAACAATAGTCATTTAGGCCAGATGGACAGACAGAAGGAAATGCAACAGAAGGATGGAAGAGGGTCATGACAAACTCTATATACCCTGGCCATATTCAAGAAGGGCATTAAAAACTAAACCAGTATAATAATACATGTATATGGTAGTCCATTAATATATACTCCTTATATAATCTGTATGAATGTAAATTTGTTCGTATTCACTGTAGGATCAGTGTGCTTCCAGTGGCCATTAAGCCACACAAACAACACCTCAAATAACACTGTAAAGAATGGTTGCAACAGCTGGTGTCAGCTCTGTATCTGAGAAAGGAAAACATTGGACACGCCTATGGTCAGATTTTTATCCAAATATTCTCTCAGAGAATGGTCGTACACACTACGAAAGGAAAACATTGAAGTTATAACTTATAATCTAGACATTTTTTGATCATTCTGCAACGGAAGTTCATTAATGATAACAGTGTTGTCATCCAGCCTTCAAAATCCATATTAAAAAACAATTCCCTATTATGTTGGGTGGTCAACAAAAAACTTCAAAATATCTTCAATACTGCACAAAAACAAAGGAAGTCATAAGCAAAGACACCCGCATTTACCTTAACAAAACTGACATGCTCATAGTAAAATGAACAGTGAATAAAAAGAAACTGTAAATTTACTTGTAACATCTTTATTTACACAAAGTCTATAATAATGTCAAATTTAACTAAATTGTCCAATCACTTTTTCTCCCCAGACTCCACTTGAGGGACTGGGGTTTCTGATTCTTCCTCCTTTGGGCGAAAGTTTGGGAAACTCTCCCAGGGGGTGCTGTACTCGAACTTGCGGAACTCCTGGGCCATTTCTATAGGCTCAACCACCACACGCTGAACCTCGTCATCATACCGGAGCTAAAAAAAGACAAAATTCCAAGTCAATCAAAAAAAAAAAAAAGATTTATCATTATGATCATTAAGTTCTGTTTGACATTTAATCAGAAATAATTACATTTTCCAACATTATTCAATGTAACATAGGCCTGGTTTCCTAATTTTAAGATACATAGTTAAACTTTGATATCTCAAACACTGATATCCCATGTACATGTTTGGCCCTCTTTGATTATTTTTCTTTAAATATAATACTGATACTGACCTCAGTGTAGCCAGTGAGAGGGAAATCTCTCCTGAATGGATGACCCTCAAACCCGTAATCAGTCAAGATTCTCCGCAGGTCTGGGTGATCATGGAAATAAACTCCAAACATGTCCCAGATCTGAAGAAGTCACACAGTGGTGATGAAAAGAAATAATAAGCAATGTAATAAATAAAATCCTACACTTTCTAAAGGATTAGGAGGGGAGTGACAGTACCCTCATGACATGTCTACCTGGTACTCACCTCCCTCTCATACCAGTTAGCTCCTGCGAAAACACTGCAGGCACTGTCTATTCCAGTCAGCTCATCAGTGTATGTCAGGACTCGAATACGGGAATTATATTTTATTGACAGCAAGTTGTATACTATCTGAAATGACAAATGCTAATGAAGAAGATGTTCTTTAACAAATTCTCTTTTAAGGACTAGAGCAAACAACATTATAGCTATAAATACATAGAGAGGTTATGTGAAGTATTTTGAATTGTATGTACATGTAACATTAACTTCAGTCAGTGAACAAAACAGCCAATGGTATGAAGGTATGTTTCAGGATATTTTCTTAACAATCAAATGAAACATGTAAAGCTTGACTAAAGTTAGTACAGTTTATGAATTTTTTTCTGTAGATCATAAAATTTTACAGATACCTATTTTCATGAGATGGTAATTTACTCTATATTAGCAAGTTCAAAATTTCAGGGATTGTGGTTTTAGCTCTATATAAACTTGAGGAATAGTAATCTATGCAAGAATCAAATTTTTGTGAGCACACTGTCTCATGTTATAATGCTAAAAAAATTATCAGGAATAAAGTGATTTACAGTATATTGAAGCACCTACAAAAACTTAAGTTCACTGTTAAAAAACTTTAAAAGAAGCCTGCAAGAGTGCTAAATTAGGTACATGTACTAAAGGATAGAACATTAAGCTTGATGCCCTATATGATTACCTCAAATCTATTTGCTCTAGTTGGTACATCCACACAGGCTATATCTACAATGTTGGTGAACTGTGAGTTGTGATGGTCCTTTAGGAAACTTAATGTGGGAACAATCCCCTCAGGGTGAATCAGAATTTCCAGCTCATCCCCCGACATCAGACGGACCGTCTGGACGTACTTAGAGAGACACTGACCCACATACTGACCAAAATCCTCCAGCTGCTTCTTACGCTCGGGGGCCACAGGCGCCCTCACAGTGGCTGAAGTATTAAAATGCTCTCAGTAAATATCAATATACACAGTTAAACCTTCTTATCTCTATCTCCATGGAACCCAGAAAAATAACTTCCTAGATATCAAAGGATTTGAGATTTTAAGTTTAAATAAAGAAGAAAGTGATTGGGATTCAAATATCCATGGTATCATAGATAGCAGTGTTCAAGATGATGAATACAGTAGTTATTCATGAGAAGATGCTAGGAAGGCTAAAGTACTCAAGAGGAATCTTAGTATCTTATTGACAACATATCAGAACACCTGATTTCAGGGGACAACTACATTGTATTTGATTCAGAAAGGGGGTACTGGCATAAATTGGAAATAATCTGTTCTCTCCTTGAAAAAAAAATGTAAATGAATAATCAAAATCACAACTGAAAAAATTTAATAATTTTTTCATGTCTGGTGCTCAAGGAAAATGTTAAAATCTTACGTTTTTTCTCTGTGCTTGTTGATTCAAATCTCCAGCACTGTGTGGCTATAGCAGGTACTGGCTTGGCTTGGTTTAGTACTGATAATGAAATTATCATGGTTATGCAACATTCAAATATGTATATCATTACTTTAGAAATTATGACTCATTACCATAGGCTTCGGAAACATTTTGAGAAAACAAGAGGCCCATGAGCCACAATGTACACCTGAACTATGACTTTTCTTGTACTTCATCAGCAGATTATTTTTCTCATACCATTTGAAACTTGATCATAGTACTCGTATCATACCCCTCAGGATCACAATTTGAACAAACTTTAATCCACACTTTCACTTTCAAAGATTGCTTCCATATAAATATAAATAATCATGAATATGGTATGATGTTGAAAATGTTTAAATATACTTTTTTCTATATATTCCACTATTACTGTGGTTGTGTTAGATAAACGGCATTCTACTAGCTTGGGCTAGTGTGTTAACCCTTTAGCTCAGTTGGTAGAGCACTGGACTGTCAAGCCAGAGCCCAGGGTTCAATCCCCAGCAGAGACAATAAAATGTCTCTGTCACATTACCATAGTGGTCCATCCCTACCAATAGGGATCATGATTTGAATTATTAGTTTGAAGAGACTTGAAACAAGTCAACAATGACAGAAAGCTTTCATAGACACAAAAGTTCCATTTTTACTGGCAAAATGGTTTTTCGAAAGATTTTTAATTGATGGTAATGACCTTTACTATCTCCCCTTGGAAGAGGGCATGATCCTTCTTTTTAATTTTATTAAATTAAATCCCTATCATTTAAAGTTTCAAAAGTTTGGGTGAAATTGGGCCCAGTGCTTTTGGAGAACAAAAAATGAAATCGATTTCATTATAAAAGCTAATGACGGCGACAATAACAAAGACAGACAACGGACAGATGTTGATCAGAAAAGCTCGCTTGAAACTTGGGCTAAAGTAAGCTGAAAATTATAGAATAAATTCAATATTATTAATTGATTTGTTGATCAATCTTTTACGACCGAATTTTCTCTATTATATAATGGTCGAAACTTTATCATTAAATGACAATAATTACTTGCAAAAGGGGAAATGCAAAATTTTAGTATGATTCACAGAATTTACTTGCCTGCGCCCTTTGCAATCTGCGAAATTGGACGAATAAATCGGCTCAATCCCAGAGCCATTTTTTCGTTCAATGTCAGACACTTGCTAAGTCGTTCTTTAAATTCTGTTTTATAAATCTGTTCACCTACATTACGTGTGTTTTTGTAGCCAGGAAAAAGATTTTTTTAAAAATGCATTTCATATAATGTTAATAAGAGGGTTTATTTGATCGTTTTTTAAATCAGAAGTGTATAAATTACTTCACGAAATCTACGTACAAACTAACTATTGTAAAGTCACTTGACTGTTTGATCAAACGTATTCCTTGCTACAGATCCAGAAGTTTCGACTATACTTAGATCAATCTTATTATTATCTATGACAATTTCCAATTTTCGATATTTCCACTTGACAGTGACTCATTTTTATCATCAGACGCTTGTATATTTGTTTGATTTGAAAGCTTTGAAGGCAGTGTTTTCTGCAGCCCAGTTATGGCAGGTTATCCCAAAAATTCGAACCCATTTTTAACGGAAGAAGATGATGAGGATGATTGGAGATCCAACAGAGGAGGAAAGATTCAGGAACAGATATCTGCTTCTGAGGATAGACAGATCGATTCTACCAGGAGAATAATGCAAAGTATTCAAGATTCCGAACGAATGGGGGTGGCTACAGCAGAAGTAAGTAAAAATTGAACAAGAACTAAAGAAGAGTCATTGTATTTTGATTTGGTGGGGATGGAGTTGTCAAAAAGTAAGAAAAAACCAAAAAAACAAAAAAGTGGCATCAAAGGATCAAAAGATCTTCTTGTTTAATGCCAAAATTTGTATTAATGTACTGATCCGTACTCATTAAAGGCACATTCTTCCGGTTTTTGTCAGTAAATTAAAAAAGGCCCCTTCTCCTCACCGTCAAATTTGTTCGCCAATGACCCTGTTCCCCCTAGTTCCTGTTTATCCAGAGTCCGCTTTCCCTAAAACTTGTTTGCACAGGGTCTGTTTGCCCTATATAATATAGAATAAGGATCTACAGAATTTCTTCAGTTCAAAGGTAAAACCTTCATCATCTGCTGTTCAGTTCCATAATGGACCTATTAAGTAAAGGTCTCAGCCTTTAATTGTTTTCAAAACATAGCGATATTCCTAAAAATAACACGTCACATGTATCCCCCAATTTAACATTGATATTAATCATCTAATTAACTAGAATGCAAACACTAACGCCTTTAAAAAACATCAAATTAAAATAATCGAATTAAATATTAATTAAGACTAAATAAACATTATTCTTCATATCAGAATTTGAAGAAAAAAATCCCAAGTTAGTTAAGAAATTAATTGATAAATAGAATGTATAATTTTTTAAAAATATTTTAATCATATAATAATATATATATATATACAATTGTATATAAGTAGGGCGGGGCCACAAAGGGGCAAGTTTTACATAGAAATATATAGGAAAAATCTTGGTGAAAATCTTCTTCTCAAGAACCACTGGGCCAGAAATGCTGAAACTTATGTGGAAGCATCCGTAGTGTAGATTCTAAATTGTTCTCATGAACGGGGGAAGGGCAGGGCCACAATGGTGAACAGGTAGAATATATAGGAAAAATCGACTTTGAACCACTGGGCCAGATACTTCTAGTGATCCTTTTTATTTTAAATTGTTCCATACATTGCAAACACAAAACATAGAAATATATAGAAAAAATCTTTTTTCTTAAAACCACTGTGCCAGAAAAGTTGAAACTTATGTGCACATGGAAATCTGGGGTAGTGTGATTTCAAAATGTCTAAATTATGATCAGTGGTGGGGTGGGGATGCATTATGTATTACAAGGAGGAAATATTAAAGCAGAATGGTCGAAGCTTCTCAGGTGAGTGATGTGGCCCATGGGCCTCTTGTTTAAAAATGAGAACAGATATTTAATCTGAATGATGAAAGCATTAGATGTGGTGGTTTTTTTTAATGCAACTGACACCAAAGATGCATTAAGTTTGTCTCTGTTGAACAGATTTTGCATATATTGACGCTTGGTTTGACATTAAAATTTTCCAGAAATTAAAATTCATGTTGCGTTTTGATATTCTTTCTCAAATTGGCTATTACTAGAATTAGTGTCCACAGCTGCAAAGTTTAACGAGCGAATTTTAAGAGGTAGAATTTGTCAGCCTTTAGATTCAGTATCAAAGTTATCATTGTGACTGGTCCCATTCATATTTATATTACTAAAATCAAATTTACAAATTTCTTCTCCTAGTTGAATGTTACAAATTATGCTTATACGTGTATCTGTGTTATGCCCCCAGTGGGACCATGATTCCAGTGGGACCATGATTGGAAAATAAATTCTATTCTTTTTTATTCTATAGAAAACACAATTATTTTTACCGACTAGAAAGATTTTTGGCAGGGATGACATCTTTCAGTAGCACACAGTTGCAGTCATCCCTTTATGTCTATATTTTGTAGCTGGTTTCATTGTGAGTTTCAAACACTGACTACGGTATATATTATGTTTATATAGCTTTATTGATATTTTTAGGAACTTCTGAGACAGGGAGAGCAATTAGACAACATTGAAAGAAAAACAGATGAAATAAATGAAACAATGACTGTCACACAGAAACATTTAAATTCCATAAAAAGTGTGTTCGGTGGAGTGAAAAACTGGTGGACTTCCAAAAAGAAACCAGCTGAATCCAGTGTTCCAGAGGCAAAGCCAAGTCGTTTACAGGAAACTGTAGAAAAGCACAAGGCCCAGGACTGTCGGGGGTTTTATGAGGAGGATAATGATTTAGATCAGGATTTTATGAAAGGAGCAAGGACACAGTACATCAAACCTGTTACTCACAGTGCAAGGGAGGAACAAGTTAATGAAAACTTGGGTACAGGATTATGATTTTTTTTAAATTCTTCTTGTAAAAGAAAATTTTTTTTTTTGGATAATTCATCATCTAACATGTACTAAGTAAACAGTGACAATGATGATTATACCTCGTTAAAACTTTTATTTGGCCATATAATACTACAAAGAAATTATTAAAAATTCTTTATATTGAAGTCTGTTACTGTATAACAATATTTAGTTTTGCATAATAAAATATAATAATAAATTGTAAATACTATAATTTTGTCCTTGATTTTAGGTCAAATCTCTGATGGTTTGACAGCATTAAAAGGTCTGGCACTGGGACTGGGTAATGAAATAGAGCGTCAGAACACCCAGCTGGATCGTATGGGGCCTAAAGTGGACAAAGCCAACACTCTCCTAGAGGGCCAGAATAAACAAATGAGAAACATTCTCAGGAAGTGACCTTTGACCTCTGTTGATCAGAATATTGGATACTTGTTAAACACAACCAGTAAATTCTGTGCCAATTTATATCTTGTATTTTATAAGGAACAAAAAAGTGCAATGAAATATCCATTTTAACTATAACTGATTTGAGCTTTTAATCATAAACATTTAAAATACATGTTTATTTTTACAAAATTCAACTGGAGTGAAATCCTTTTACATCTGTTAAATCTTCGTGATATTTATAAATCTCGTTTAAAATGTTGTCCCGTATTTTAATACTTCTGCTGAAGGGAATTCATACACCGGTATTTATTGCAGTCTGAATCTCTAGTATCTTTTTTGTTTACTGAACATATACATTGTACATGTATTGTTACTACCCGGTATAAGAGCATGTTCCTAATTAACAGCATCATGCTTTATAGATGCAGTGATAAATTACTTTTAAATGATTCTCCTTGTAGACAAATGAGATATGTTACAAACATGCGGATGTAAAAAAAAATTTCAATAATTGCAGCTAGGTCACTTTATTTTTTTTGTGTGCTAGTTATGGACTACATGTGTTATTTGTTGTATGTTATTTAACAGTGTGTGTTGCATTAATATTGTCATGTCTGTATATGGGTGGGGACACAAAAGAGCACTGTGTCGATGAGTATTCACTCCCAGTGAGTATAAGATTTTATATGAACAGGAAATTGTGTATAGCTTATTTTTTACACAAAAGTTTGTTATAATAACTGATAGAGGAAAAAACTAGGATATGAAGTTCTGAAAGTAGTTTTGACAGTAAATCTTTGTAAATAAGAGGTTCCTTTATATACATGTATATATAATTTTAAGCACACGTGTATCTGAAGGCATGTTTGCGTAATGTATTAACCAGTTATCAGCTTTGTATTTACATTTGTATAATTACAGCTTTGACCTTTGAATACATCCCACCATGTACATGTAGTAATATATTTCCCCTACATAATGTACTAGACTCTGAATGAATTAGAGGGACTGTTAATGTTAAAAAAGGAGGGGGGCTTTATTGGATAACCAATGGCTGTGTCTTCAGTATTTCATTTTGTTACAATGTACTTGTTTTTTTTTCTTTGTGTTTTTAAATTTATATAAAAATTTTGCATCATTCCAGATTAAATGCATTTGTCATTAAAATAAATCATTTACGTTGATTTCATTCTGATTGTATTTTAAGTTTTTTTATGGTTCAAAGTAGATGTACTTAGAGACCTTATGTAAGGAAAAAGAATAGTCCCCGATACTACATGTAAGTTGCAGAACGGTCATTCAATTTAGATAGTTAGACAATGTCACCACTTTAGTCTAATTGCAAAGGAAATTAATTCATCTGAAAACAAAATGTGAACGACATTTTTTGTGAAATTAAAACCACAGAGAAATGCCCACGTTTCATATGGCACGATTGATCAGTGTTGACATTTGCACGTGTATTAGCGTCACAGCTACCATCAACATGTATGTTTAATCAAGGCTATCCGATGTCAATTATTAAAACATGCCGTGTTATGTGTATTGAATGAAGGAGATGAAATATTGCGATAACCGCGAATAATAAGTTAATCCTAGGTTTTAGTTTGTGGGTATGCAGATATACGTCATATTACGCTGTGACCGTCCCCCACGGGCACCTGTCGACTGACTCACGGGTAAAAGTTCTCCGTTAACATTAGCACACCGATCTGTCATTAAATCGACATGATTCGCTTAGTGAGAGGAAGATAGGCGTAAAAAAATTAATGTGAGGGATTTATATCATGATTGTATGTCAAAAAGGAGAAATTTTTAATCTATTATGTAAGTATTTATTTTATAGTTTTTGTTCAGTAAAACTCGATTCTTAAAAAAATACATTCATCTAATCTTTGTAACGTTGTTTAAAAATGAAATAATTATCATAAGAAATTAAAATATTCAGACTCTGCCAAATGAATTGTCAATGACGCACTCTATATAATCAAGCAGAGGTCATTGTGTCTTCTACAGAATACATTGTGGGCATACAGCAAATGTGGTGACGGAAACTGGGAAGGGGGGGGTCATTTAAACTGTGTGTATTTTCAATTCTTTTTAATGGGAATGTTTCAGTTTTCACAGTCAATTTATATTCGAGTTATAAACCTCAAAAGCGCATTTTAATGATTAATTTGTAATTTATTTTATTTACTTAACGCACCTTAAAATTCATGCTCTACAGGTATTCAACTAAAAGGGAATTAAAAAATTGACTGCCTTGCATGAACAAACTCGTCTTCTGAGATTTTATCTTTAAAATCAACATTTTAATTCGAGACGCGGTAGCAACTAAGTTCACTTGTATATATACACAAATAAGCAAGGGCCTAAAGTCTCTCCTCCACGGAATTGATATTTAAACATCAACCTTTCCCAAGTATATACGATAATTATTTATTTCAAAAGGGTTGTTGTATGCTTTTCACGGAATCTGAGGTGTGAAGTTCTTTTCTGCACACTTAATGTTATAAAGAAGTACAATGTTTGTAAAAGGAATGAATCTAGAAAACGCCAAAGCTGGACTCGATTACTGAAGTTGTAAGGAAATCTGGGTTTTTTTCCTAGCTGAACAAAAGTGTAAAATTACAAGGAAAAATTTAGTTCGATGGATAGACAATATAAAATTTTTTCTATGGATTTCGTATAAAGAAATTGTATTTGAATTGATGGAAATAAATACACTGATTTGGTATGTAGGCAAGTTTTCTAAATTCTATGTAACTAAATCCTTTTTAAATAATTATTTTACAGTTTTTAACGATTCACGAGTATTCAAAAGTTGTAAGGATAGGTGATTGGAATACAGTTTTTCATGATGATCAACTAAGATATATTTTTCTTGGGAACTTTTAGTTTATGATGATTCTTTGTTGTCGCTAAATCAGTAAACCGTTTTGCTCATAAAGTACTTAGGCTCCCAATTGAACGTTCTAACTCTCATAACAGTACACCGGTACACAACTTTGGGAGTACCTGCTTTCTCAGGGAACCAACCACAACCCCCGAGGGTCAGGCAGTGAATTTACAGGGAGCTCTCGTCCCTGTAACTCGTTGACCCCCATCACTTTATTTCTAAACTGTTTGAGAATATTTACCTTATATATAAGGAGGCAATAAATCATAAGCGTAATTAACGGAAACCAAGATTGGAATAGGTATAAAGCCACTTGAAAAGGCCAAAATATTTTAAGAACCATCATAAGTTTCTGTGTTTGATCCGGTTTCACACTTGAATTCATCGACTGTGCTCTTAAAGTCAAATATACAGGAAATTGTTCAATTTTTTTTTCAAGAGTTAAAAACCTCTATATTTGTACAGATTTTCGCTTCGAAATTTGAAGAGAAGGACGTGAAAATGGATGGCAGGGTGAATTGATCCGTCGTGTGTTTTCATTTACAGGTAAATTTTATTTTTTACTTACTTCGGTCTCAGAAATAATGAAATAAATGTACAATTTTATTTATTTTTTGCTGCTGTTATGTTTATAGTAAAAAAAAAAAAAATAAATAAATACATTGAAAGTATGTAAAATCTATAATTTATCGAAGTTAAATTTTTTATATACTGTATATGTATATGTTCAAACTTTACAATTTACATAAAATACAAGTAACTTTCCATTTTGATTGAACTGAAACACTAGGAACTCTGAACAAAACTGGCATACCTATAGGCTCCATCACTATGCATACGATTTCATTTTTATTCTTAAAAAAAAATCACATTTTGCTTTCTATCAATTCACATGTCGGTGCAGAGACCATTAACTATTGAAAAAAAAAGATTTCCATTTTATTGCCTTTTTATGTACATGTATACAGATCTGATGAAGTAAAAAGGTATTATTTCATAATAAAATTACAATAAATGGTGCGATTTTATGATAAGTATTTAAATAGGACAAACATCACTGTTAGGAATATCTAAAAACATCCATTTTTAGTAATAAAAAGTCAGCGTTATTAAAGCGCGACCATTCATAATCGAAAACATTTAATTTTAAAGTCGGCAAAAAACCCAAGTATATATTGAATCGATAATTTAAGGAATTAAAATGTTTCAATGGTTTCAATGCCGTAGGCACCAGACAAAAATTAAATCTCTAGGATAGTTTTTGTGTTAAATTGAAAATCGTGTCTTGATTTCCCAAGGACAGCGAAATAACTGTAACCGTCAACGCGATAAAAATGATTAGAGAAATTCTCTTTTCTCATTTGTACAGTAACTTAACACTATTTAGTTACACCGTATACGAGATGAACTGATATAGCTAATTTAATTACTTAGCTACTACTGTATTGTGGTTTCTTTTATTGAAACGTGTTCGAATTTGGTTGTACATGTTACGCCAGACTCGAACACTCTCCAGGCGTTATAGTGAAAGAAAGAGGTGAAGATAAAGAACATACATGTTACACCTGACTCGAACACTCTCCAGGTGTTATAGTGAAAGAAAGAGGTGAAGTTAACGAACATACATGTTACACCTGAATCGAACACTCTCCAGGTGTTATAGTGAAAGAAAGAGGTGAAGTTAACGAACATACATGTTACACCTGACTCGAACACTCTCCAGGTGTTATAGTGAAAGAAAGATGTGAAGTTAACGAACATACATGTTACACCTGACTCGAACACTCTCCAGGTGTTATAGTGAAAGAAAGAGGTAAAGTTAACGAACATACATGTTACACCTGACTCGAACACTCTCCAGGTGTTATAGAGAAAGAAAGAGGTGAAGTTAACGAACATACATGTTACACCTGACTCGAACACTCTCCAGGTGTTATAGTGAAAGAAAGAGGTGAAGTTAACGAACATACATGTTACACCTGACTAGAACACTCTCCAGGTGTTATAGTGAAAGAAAGAGGTAAAGTTAACGAACATACATGTTACACCTGACTCGAACACTCTCCAGGTGTTATAGTGAAAGAAAGAGGTAAAGTTAACGAACATACATGTTACACCTGACTCGAACACTCTCCAGGTGTTATAGTGAAAGAAAGAGGTAAAGTTAACGAACATACATGTTACACCTGACTCGAACACTCTCCAGGTGTTATAGTGAAAGAAAGAGGTAAAGTTAACGAACATACATGTTACACCTGACTCGAACACTCTCCAGGTGTTATAGTGAAAGAAAGAGGTAAAGTTAACGAACATACATGTTACACCTGACTCGAACACTCTCCAGGTGTTATAGTGAAAGAAAGTTAATGAACATACATGTTACACCTGACTCGGACACTCTCCAGGTGTTATAGTGAAAGAAAGAGGTGAAGTTAACGAACATACATGTTACACCTGACTCGAACACTCTCCAGGTGTTATAGTGAAAGAAAGAGGTGAAGTTAACGAACATACATGTTACACCTGACTCGAACACTCTCCAGGTGTTATAGTGAAAGAAAGAGGTAAAGTTAACGAACATACATGTTACACCTGACTCGAACACTCTCCAGGTGTTATAGTGAAAGAAAGAGGTAAAGTTAACGAACATACATGTTACACCTGACTCGAACACTCTCCAGGTGTTATAGTGAAAGAAAGAGGTGAAGTTAACGAACATACATGTTACACCTGACTCGGACACTCTCCATGTGTTATAGTGAAAGAAAGAGGTAAAGTTAACGAACATACATGTTACACCTGACTCGAACACTCTCCAGGTGTTATAGTGAAAGAAAGAGGTAAAGTTAACGAACATACATGTTACACCTGACTTGAACACTCTCCAGGTGTTATAGTGAAAGAAAGAGGTAAAGTTAACGAACATACATGTTACACCTGACTCGAACACTCTCCAGGTGTTATAGTGAAAGAAAGAGGTGAAGTTAACGAACATACATGTTACACCTGGCTCGAACACTCTCCAGGTGTTATAGTGAAAGAAAGAGGTAAAGTTAACGAACATACATGTTACACCTGACTCGAAAACTCTCCAGGTGTTATAGTGAAAGAAAGAGGTAAAGTTAACGAACATACATGTTACACCTGACTCGAACACTCTCCAGGTGTTATAGTGAAAGAAAGAGGTGAAGTTAACGAACATACATGTTACACCTGACTCGAACACTCTCCAGGTGTTATAGTGAAAGAAAGAGGTAAAGTTAACGAACATACATGTTACACCTGACTCGAACACTCTCCAGGTGTTATAGTGAAAGAAAGAGGTGAAGTTAACGAACATACATGTTACACCTGACTCGAACACTCTCCAGGTGTTATAGTGAAAGAAAGAGGTGAAGTTAACGAACATACATGTTACACCTGACTCGAACACTCTCCAGGTGTTATAGTGAAAGAAAGAGGTGAAGTTAACGAACATACATGTTACACCTGACTCGAACACTCTCCAGGTGTTATAGTGAAAGAAAGAAATGAAGTTAACGAACATACATGTTACACCTGACTCGAACACTCTCCAGGTGTTATAGTGAAAGAAAGAGGTGAAGTTAACGAACATACATGTTACACCTGGCTCGAACACTCTCCAGGTGTTATAGTGAAAGAAAGAGGTAAAGTTAACGAACATACATGTTACACCTGACTCGAACACTCTCCAGGTGTTATAGTGAAAGAAAGAGGTAAAGTTAACGAACATACATGTTACACCTGGCTCGAACACTCTCCAGGTGTTATACTTAGTAGTTAAAGAAAGAGGTGAAGATAACGAACACCGATCGACTTCAAAATATCTATAAACAATACAATTCTGTAAAGTAGGAATAAAGCACGGGCCCCTGGAAATTCCGGAGGTGGGGTCAGGTGTCTGGGAGGCGTTAGCATCCCCCATTGACCGGTCACTCCCGCACTAAGCCCCATGTTTTTATCGGGTAGACTTATGGTAAGACACGTTTGCTATTTGCACTTGAGCGCAAACACAATCTTTCAAAAGATTTTTCTTTAACCATGACTTTAGACATTCGTTTTGTTCATAAAGTACTTAGGCTCCATGGATTAATAAAATGTCGTGTACATTTTTTTTTTCAGTGTCATCCATTTATTCCTAAAGAGACAAACAAGTAACAAAAATTACGGCAAGTCAAAATTCTACAGCTGATAAATTCTCAAAACGCCACGAGGTCAAATATCATAATAAAATTTTAAAGACTTTGTCAAAAGTAATGCATATGTGAATAAGAAAGCCTTGTCTCTTCTTGGGAAAAATATATCGATAAAGTTAAGATTTTTGATAAGTACTTAAAGTTTCTAAAAATACATTACCTGTTTCCAAAAGATTTTTGACCTCATGACCTTGACATTGGAGTTTAACCTACTTTTCAAAAATATCAATATAACTTTAAATTTGTGACAGACAAATGGACGGACCAGTACCCATGTTCAAGAATTGTTTTTTTGAAGTTTTTTTTTTATTTTTTATTTTATAATTTACTAGTATATGGACGGATTTTACTGCTATTATATTATATATTTCCTTGATATACATTATACAATACAGAGAAGAACATACCATATAGTATTTCAAGTAAATTCACAGCGAGTTTTTGTTAAAATGCGTGTTACAATTTCAATAATCGATAAAGATTTATTTATTCTAACTTAACCAATTGCATTTTTTTCAAGGCTAAAAAGAAAAACATGGCAAATATCACGGAGGAGTTTTCAAATCAAACTACGGTCACCATGGATACAACAACCATGGGGATGGAGGAGATAGAGGCCCGGATGTTGCTACACAAGATGAATGACGAGCTAGCGATGCGTTACTTGCCAGTTATTGTGTACATGTTAATTCTTATGCTGATGGGGATTTTCGGAAACATTTTGGTGTGCTGTGTGTATTGCAGTAAACCCACAAAAACTTCCTCTCATTACTTTATTTTAAACCTCGCCGTCCTTGACCTTTTGACCTGTATCATTGGCATGCCCACTGAAGTAACGGACCTCCGATATCCCTATATGTTTTACGCTCCTGCAGCATGTAAGTTGCTACGATTTGTGGAATCGGTATCGATAATCGGTTCATCAATTACACTCATCGCTGTGGCGTTCGATCGATATTACAGAATTTGTAAACTTGGAAGACAAATATCGGTGAAAAAGTCAAAAATAATTTGTGTCATAGCTGTCATTATTGGACTCCTTTCATCTTGGCCGGCCTGTATTTTGTTTGGTGAAAAGACAATCGAGCTCGGAATTCCAGGGATCAAGGGTGTCGACTGCTCCACTGATGATTCAGTTAGACACACGATTTATCCCACTCTTTATTACGGATTTCTCTTCCTTTTGTTTATTCTTTGTTTAGTATTTTTTACTGTTATATACGCAAAAATTGGTGCAGTGATCTGGAAGCGCAAGAAAGCCAGGATAGGTGAGCCTATTTCAGCCACGCCAAATGGTCGCGCTTTGAACGATTCGAACACTCCTTCAGATCAAATTTCCACTGATCCAATCAGCACAGAGATGTCTTCTGATCATGAGGGTTACCACGACAAACGTGCATCAAGTGGTTCTAAACACGCCTTTGGTAAAAGAAATTCTCGGAACAATGTGCGCGTTACTCGGACTACGGTGGTACTGTTTGCTGTGACTGTCGCTTACGTCATTAGCTTTCTGCCGTTCCTCATAGTCATGGTTGTCAGAAGTGTAGCGAAGAACTTTGAGGAGAGTCTCAGTCCCGAGGCAGAGGTCGCCTACAAATTCAGCACCAAATCCTACTTTATTAACAATGCAATTAATCCCGTGATTTATAGTTTTCTTAACATCAACTTCCGGAAGGATATCAAAACCATTTTCAAAAAATGTTGTATTGCTTGTTGTGGATGTCGCAATAGATGATCAATGTTTCCCCCACTCCTTATGCATACTCATCACCATAACGTGTTATTGTTTCTTTATGCTGCATAGAAAAAACATATTCCTCTACAAAATGTGAATACATGTATATACCCATGTTGTTTCTTCAAAATTCATTATATATCGGTACTTGAATGCGTATATAAAACACCATAGTGTAAAATCATGTAATGTCTTTGCAAGGTATCACAGATCACTGTTCATTTTATTTCATGCAAAGGATGTTGGTATCTTGGGCATGATTTTTTATAAAAATGTTAAGAAAATGAAAAGAATTTTTTTTTGTCTAAAACGCATGAAATATTGCAGGAAAAATAAAATATCAAGATATCTCTCCAAATTCCATTTATAAATACACACGTGCTTTTAAAAGATAAGTTTTAATGTGCCCTTTCTTAAAACTTTCTTATATAATGACAAACAAGAACAAGGAATCTGATTTTTTTTCCCCTTTTCGACATACTACTACTAGTAGCTTTCTAGAAACAGCCAAGTTTTACACAGTTGACATTGTGAGTTGACGTCATTAGGAGTTATATCTCTTACCACAGTATCAATGAACCTTAAAGAAAAAAAGTTACAATTGAAGGTCATTAATCTTGATATTTTTTGACAAACTGATTTAACAGCTTTTTACGATTTGGTGCGTGGATTTACGTGCCCCTATCACAAAAGTAAGATAGTAACTAGTGCTAATTGTAACGGGGACCGTTACAGATGTTCCCCAAACGCTCCCCAACTCCCTTTTGGTGCCATATTCCCTGTTAGCTTCATTTAATAACACAAACTCTCTGTATTTGAGATTTTAACAATGTTTACCCAGAAATGTACCATGCTCATTCAAATTTTAGCATTGCATGTGAATACATGTACGTAATGACCATATCATCTTGTCTACACAATCTATATATTTTAATATACTAAATATTAAAGTATTTAATCCATAAGTATTAAAAAATTCGCTCATTCAAGTGTATTTTTTATTTTACCCATTTCACGTGCACGCACGTGCATACATGAGCATGATAAACATACCTTCTTGTAGAAGTTCATTACATCTATCTATGTTCTAAATACCCATCCCGTTTGGTTGAAAACCAAAGGAGTTAAAACTGTTTAAAGTTTCAGCCAATCAGATTGCAGCGCACGTACACGCACATGTATGCATGTGCATGGTGACCATACCTTTTTGTAGAAGTTCATTTTATATATCTATATTCCAAATCCCATCCTGTTTGGTTGAAAACCAAGGGAGTTATAGCATTTTAAAGTTTCAGCCAATCAGATTGCAGCGCACGTGCATGCACGTGTTTTCATGATAATTTCTAAACATCATGTTGTAGGATATCCTTATGCATGGCTATGTTCAAAATTTCAGCAAAAAACAAGAAAGATATTGAGACTTTAGTTTCAGCCAATCAGAGCAAAGCGCACATGCATGCGCGTGAGATCTTGCTATTTTGACCATGTCATATTGTCTATATTACTAATATATCCATACATTATGAGTTTCAAAGCATTCCATCAAAAATTAAAAAAGTTACGCCTATATCAATTAAATCGGTCATTTTACATGTTGCACGTGCGCGCTCTTGCAAGCACGTGCGCGCAAAATGACCTTTGTTCGGCAAATCTACATTACATGTCTATTGACCCTAAAAACATTTTACCTTAGTCGGATGTGTAGTTTACAAGATCACTCAAGGACAAAATTTTCCCAGGAATAATAATAATAATAACTAGTGCTAATTGTAACGGGAACCGTTACAGATGTTCCCCAAACGCTCCCCAACTCCCTTCTCGTGCCATATTCCCTGTAAGTTTCATTAAAGAAGGCAAAATCTATGCATTTAAGACGGCAACAACGTTTTCCCAAAACTATACCAAGTATTTCAAATTTAAGCAATGCAGGCGTGCGCATGTGATTGCATGAGCGTAATGACGATATCATCTTGTCTACACTATTTTACTCATATGCACGTGCATGATGACCATACCTTCTTGTAGGAGTCCATTATGTCTGTCTATGTTCTTAATCCCATCCTGTTTGGTTGAAAAACAAGGGAGTTATAGCCATTTAAAGTTTAAGCCAATCAGATTGCAGCGCACGTGCATGCGCATGTTTCCATGACAATTATTATATATCATATTGTAGGACATCTTAAAGTATGCCTATGTTTTAAATTTCAAAGCATTTTGTAAAACAAAAAATATTGAGATTTTTGTTTCAGCCAATCAGAGCAAGGTGCACGTGCACGCACATGCATGTGAATAGTACCATACCATCTTGTAGGAGTCCTTTATGTCTATCTATGTTCTAAATCCCATACTGTTTGGTTGAAAACCAAGGGAGTTATAGTCATTTAAAGTTTCAACCAATCAGATTGCAGCGCACGTGCATGCGCATGATTTCATGAAAAATTTTATATATCATATTGTAGTACATCCTAATACATGTCTATGATATAAGTTTCAAAGCATTTCATCATAAAACAAAAAAGATATTAAGATTTCTGTTTCAGCCAATCAGAGCAAAGCCCACGTGCATGCGCGTGAGTTCATGCAAATTTGACCATGTCATCTTATGTATACAACTTATATATCTTTATATAATGAGTTTCAAAACATTTTATCAAAAAATGTAAAAGTTACAACCATATTAAATATATCAGTCAGTTTACTCATTGCACGCGCCCGCACGTGCATGCGAATGCGCGCAAAATGACCTTCGTTCGGCACATCTACACAACATGCCTACTAACCCTAAAAAGGTTTTAACTTAGTTTGGTGAACAGTTTCTGAGAACACTTCCGGACAAAAAAGTACCGGAGAAGAAATAAGAAGAAAAAAGAATAATAATAATAATAACTAGTGCTAATTGTAACGGGAACCGTTACAGATGTTCCCCAAACGCTCCCCAACTCCCTTCTCGTGCCATATTCCCTGTAAGTTTCATTAAAGAAGGCAAAATCTATGCATTTAAGACGTAAACAACGTTTACCAAAAGTATACCAAGTATTTCAAATTTAAGCAATGCAGGCGTGCCCATGTGATTGCATGAGCGTAATGACGATATCATCCTGTCTACACTATTTTACTCATATGCACGTGCATGATGACCATACCTTCTTGAAGGAGTCCATTATGTATGTCTATGTTCTTAATCCCATCCTGTTTGGTTGAAAAACAAGGGAGTTATAGTCATTTAAAGTTTAAGCCAATCAGATTGCAGCGCACGTGCATGCGCGTGTTTTCATGACAATTATTATATATCTTATTGTAGGACATCTTAAAGTATGCCTATGTTTTAAATTTCAAAGCATCTTGTAAAAGTACAGAAAAGATATTGAGATTTTTGTTTCAGCCAATCAGAGCAAAGCGCACGTGCACGCACATGCATGCATGTGAATGGCGACCATACCATCTTGTAGGAGTCCTTTATGTCTATCTATGTTCTAAATCCCATGCTGTTTGGTTGAAAATCAAGGGAGTTATAGTCATTTAAAGTTTCAGCCAATCAGATTGCAGCGCACGTGCATGCGCGTGATTTCATGAAAATTTTTATACATCATATTGTAGTACATCCTAATACATGTCTATGTTAAAAATTTCAAAGCATTCCATCTTAAAACAAAAAAGATATTAAGACTTTAGTTTCAGCCAATCAGAGCAAAGCGCACGTGCATGCGCGTGAGTTCATGCAAATTTCACCATGTCATCTTATCTACACAACTTATATATCTTTATATAATGAGTTTCAAAACATTTTATCAAAAAATATAAAAGTTACAACCATATTAAATATATCAGTCAGTTTACTCATTGCACGCGCCCGCACGTGCATGCGAATGCGCGCAAAATGACCTTCGTTCGGCACATCTACACAACATGCCTACTAACCCTAAAAAGGTTTTAACTTAGTTTGGTGAACAGTTTCTGAGAACACTTCCGGACAAAAAAGTACCGGAGAAGAAATAAGAAGAAAAAAGAATAATAATAATAATAACTAGTGCTAATTGTAACGGGGACCATTACAGATGTTCCCCAAACGCTCCCCAACTCCCTTTTGATGCCATACTCCCTGTAATCTCTATTAGATAAGAAATACTTTATGGAATTTAGACTTAATCAAGGTCTTCCCAGAAAAATACAAAATATATTTAAAAATAGGCATTGCACGCATGTTCATGTGCATAACGACCATATTATCTTGTCTACACTATCTCAAATTTTAATATACTTAATATCAAAGCATTTAATCCAAAGGTATTAAAAAATACACTCATTCGAGTGTATTTTTAATTTTACTCATTTCACGTGCATGCACGCGCAAGCACGTGCATAATGACTACACCTTTTTGTAGGAGTCCCTTATATTTATCTATGTTCTAAATCCAATCCTGTTTGGTTGAAAAACAAGGGAGTTATAGCCATTTGAAGTTTCAGCCAATCAGATTACAGCACACTTGCATGCGTGTGATTTTATAAATTTTTATCTTAATCGTATTGAAGGATATCTAAATGAATGACTATATTTTAAAATTTGAAACATTTCGTCAAAAAACAAAGGAGATATAGCCATATGAAGTTTTAGCCAATCAGATTGCAGCACACGTGCATGCACGTGATTTCATGATTTTTTTCTATATCATATTTTAGGATATCCCAGTGTATGACTATGTTTTAAATTTCAAAGCATTTCGTCAAAATACAAAGGAGATATAGCCATTTAAAGTTTCAGCCAATCAGATTGCAGCACGCGTGCATGCGCATGCTTTTATGAAAATTTGTATATATCATGCTGTAGATCTTCATAATGTAGGACTATGTTGAAAATTTCAAAAGATTATGACAAGAAACAAGAAAGATATTGAGACTTTAGTTTCAGCCAATCAGAGCGAAGCACACGTGCATGCGCGTGAGATCTTGCTATTTTGACCATGCCATCTTGTCTATACTACTAATGTATCCTTACATTATGAGTTTCAAAAAAATTCATCAAGAAAAAGAAAAATTACAGCAATATCCATTATATTGGTCATTTTTCGTGTTGCACGTGCGCGCTCTTGCAAGCACGTGTGCGCAAAATGACCTTCGATCGGCAAATCTACATAAAATGTCTATTGATCCTAAAAACATTTTACCTTAGTCAGATGTGTAGTTTACAAGATCACTCGTGGACAAAATTTTCCCAGGAAGAAGAAAAATAATAATAATAATAAGAAACAGAGTAAAAACAATATGTTCCCCAACTTCGTTTGGGGAACATAATAATAATAATAATAATAAGAAACAGAGTAAAAACAATATGTTCCCCAACTTCGTTTGGGGAACATAATAAGAAACAGAGTAAAAACAATATGTTCCCCAACTTCGTTTGGGGAACATAATAATAAGAAACAGAGTAAAAACAATATGTTCCCCAACTTCGTTTGGGGAACATAATTACAGTATATACATTCGAGCGTGCATCAGAATACGAATGATTTTAATAAGCATGCGCGGATCTAGAGGGGGGGGGCAGGACCCCCCCCCCACCCCTGGAATTTGCAGAGATATTAAATTGATACACTAAACCAAGTTAAAAGTGACCTTGGACCCCTCCTAGAAATAGGAGACCCCCCTAGAAAACGCAGACCTTTGTAAAGTTGGTATGAAAAGTAATAGGTATAAAGCATTAGAAGTCAAATGTCACGTTTGGGCGCAGGTGTAGGTTTTTTTTATGCTTGTCAACAAATTTCGGAGTTGGATTTTATTTTTGACTGGGATGGACCCCCCACCCCCCTGGAAAAATTCCTGGATCCGCGCCTGATAAGCGTGTCAATACCTATTAAGACTATACGACCATTAACTAGTCTTGATTAAAAAGAAAAGGTTCCAACGTCTTTCATGACCAAATTTTTGTTCATTCCTAACAACTGGTTACCCTGATTATGCCCCCGTAAACGAAGTTTCGGGAGTATATAGTTTTTGTCATCTCCGTCCGTCTGCCTGTCTGTCTGTCCGCAAAAACCTTCACCTTGCCCATTTTTCATTTAGTGGAGCTATGACTTTCATATTTCACATGTGTATTCCTTGTGACAAGACCCTTCTTTGGGTACCACCAAATTTGACCTTTTGACCTTGGAGTTTGACCCACCTTTACACAAAAATTCTTCACTTTTACTTTGGCCATATCTTTTGAACAGTAGATACCAGGAGTTTTATATTTCATACATAAATATTTTGTGGAAAGACCTTTTATTTAGTACCAACAACGTTTACATTTGACCTTGACTTTGGAGAGTTCCGTACTTATGAAAAAAACTTTAACTTTGGGCATAACTTTTGAACGGTAAGGGCTAGGGTTTTCATACTTCACATATGTAATCCTTGTGAAAAGACGCGTCATTGGATACCAAAAACTTTTACCCTTTGACCTTGAGCTTGGAGTCTGACTTACTTTAAAATACAACCTTGACCATAATTTTTGAAGGGTTAGGACTAGGGTTTTCATACTTCACATTTTTAATCCCTGTGATAAGACCTTTCATTTGATATCAAGAACTTTGACCTTAGAGTTTGACCCAGTTTTAAACAAAAAATCTAAACTTTTACTTTGACCCTTTTTTTTAAACAGTAGATACTACGGATTTCATAATTCAAATATCAAGGTTTTGTGGCAAGGCCTTTCATTTGAAATCAACAATTTTGACCATTTGACCTTGGAGATTTCAGTACTTACGAAAAACTTAAACTTTGGCTATAACTTTTGAATGGCAAGGGCTAGGGCTTTCATACTTTTTATTTGTAATCTTTGTGAAAAGACAGTTCATTGGATATCAACAACTTTGACCTTGGAGTTTGACCTACTTTTTACAAACTTTAACCTTGGCCATATCTTTTGAACAGTAAGGGCTGGAGCTTTCATACTTTACATATGTAATCCTTGTGATAAGACCTTTTACTAGATATCAACAACGTTCACCATTTGACCTTGACATTTAACCTACTTTTTAAAACTTTAACCTTGACCATAACTTGTGAACGGTAAGAGTCAGTGCTTTCATACTTCCCATATGTAATCTTTGAGACAAAGCCTATTTTTAGAAACCAACAATCTTGACCATTTGATCTTGACCCCGGAGTTTGTCCTACCTTTAAAAACATTCGAACAGGTGGTGCTAGGGTTTTAAATTTCACATTTGTATTTCTTGTGAAAAGGCCTCACTTTAGGTACCAACATATTTGATCTGCATTTTTTTCACCAAGTAACTGTTGCAGCAAAAAAGAGGTGAGGAGCCTTTCCATAAAAATTTTAATACTAAAAGGTTATGTTTGGAAAAGGGGTGTCTTTTTCAAACTGTACCGTCTTGTGCACCCATGTATTTTTAACTACATGTACTTCCAAAAATTGACGTCTTTCCTTAATTTATGATGGGAAAAAAACCCAGACCCCTCCCCCTTCTTTTTAAAAAGATCTTTTAACTTTTATATCATGTTACTTTAATAATTAGTAAATGTTAGTAAATTATACACTTCGGTCCATAAAATAACTAAATTTAGTCACTTTGATTTTATATAGTAAAATAGAGCAATTTAAAGGACTTTTCAAAGAAATGTATGAAGGTAAATGACACTTGACAAAACATATATGTAGACCCTTTACACAACTGGGTGTAAACAGTTTAGATTTAGTGACAATAATACATGTATCACTGTTAAGATATATTTCCTTTGGATACTTGACATTGAATACACTTTCTTATTCACTTACAAACACATATAATATGTCCTTCCTCAATTAAAAAGGCATTAAGAACCCTCTGTAGTTGTAACAGACACAACTATGTATTATATAAATTCTCAGTAATAAAATTTATATGCACACGTCTTTGTCCAGTAGAGGTCCCAATACTTTTTGGACACTGAGAAACAAATAATATATGAACTAGTAATGAAAGTTAAACTTAGATAAAACTGCATAGTTTGTCAACAAGAAAATGCAGAAAAGACCTCTCTTTTCTCACTGATAAACATACCATAAATCTGGAAATTTTTGCTGTAGATAACTTTTTAACAAATTTGCGAGTTCATTAAATTTGCAAAAATATTTTTCTTAAAAGTAAATCACCAATAGGAAAATTTAAACAAAGTAGTGGTCATTCGCAAAATTTTGAAACGAATGTTTTTACCGCATCCTTCATCCCTTTTGAATAAATGGTCATTTATGAATACCGGTAATAAGATGTATCAGTTATTCATAAACTGAAAAGACTTGTACTCTCAAATAATGTAAAGAGAAAAATAACAACGCATATTTTACTTAAAGTATACAATTCTTATAAAATACAGTTGTCACAATATAAAATAAAAACTGTATTACAAATATGATAAAACATTGAACATTCATCAATATTGTCCTACATTGTTCCAGTCACAAGTATGTAATGTTGCAAAGTCTGCCTCACCTTATAAATTCATCAATTATTGAGAGCAACACTTCTATTTCTAATTACAAAAATTTTAATTTGTAGCAAAATTTTGTATAAATTTAAGGGCATTCTACAAAATACAATTTTTTTGCAGAACACATTTATTATCAATATTTGAAAAAGATTTCACTTCTGATAAATACCATCCTCGTAATGGTGGGGGTCCTGAGTCAACATGTTGCCGTGGAACCCTGGACAACATCAATAAATAGTTCATGGACTGGCTGTAGCCACAGCTTTCAAAAAAATTACAAATCTTGATTGCTTTTCTTATCTCTCAACCAAGGACATTAAGCCATTCTACGATAAACAACTTGTGACACATGCATTTGAGGTGTCGACTGAATCCTTTCTGTTAAATTATCGAACTAATTATGAAAGCTTTAATTTGATTGGTGCTTCTCAATGTGAGAAGCAAGCCCTAATTTATCTAATGAAATTCGCCAGGGGTTCCAAGGCAAAGTGTTAACTCAGGACTCCTAGCATTGTGAGGATGCATACATAGAAAACTCATTCATTTATATCATGGATTCTTTATCCAATTACAAGGAAAAACTCTCTTCTTCTGAACTAAGACCTCTAACATATGACTTCTGACACATGACCTCTGACCCACTCAGTGTGTCAGCTGCTCTTCTTTGGTTGTGAACTTTCACCTGACGCTCCCTCTGCCTCTGTGACTTTGTCAATAGATTTTAACACTTGAGACATGACTCGTAAATTCTCCACTCCTGACAACATCTGCCTGTAAATATAAAAATATGTGAATTAAAATAAGTCAAACTGTAAGAAAATTACTGCGGAACTTAGTTTTCATGCTCTTTTTTCACTTTTCAGACTCTGAGAGTTGAATTAAATTTATCTATCATCTTGGTCTAATGATGCGTGAACTAGAATATTCTCATGTTCCAAAAATAGAGGAGTTTGTGAGATTAAAAGGGGAAAGAAATCTGTAATTTTCAGGGCTGATCATTATAATTCTATTGCCTAATATGATTCCTGGAAATTTCAATGTTGAAAACTCAATGACATTTGTATTTTACTGGTAACTGATTTCAAACAACAATTTGTTATAAACCATTTTCTTATTTTCCAAATTAACAGTGAAAATTGAGTTATGTCCCTTTTTATACATGCTAGCAGATAGATGTTTTTATTAAAACACAATATACTACTTTTAAAAGAAAACTTTTGAATTAACTCTTTAAAAAAATGTTTGGAATATCATTAACAAATCTTGACTAACTATTAATTATCTTCCCTTGATAGAGGAAATAGCTTTTCATTTGAACAGAGATGAACTTTGTCCACACAAGGATGCTTTGAAGCAATTGATTGAAACTGTTCTAAAGGTTCTTGACAAGAAGTCTAAAACATGAAAAGTTGACAGACAGACTAAAAAACAAACAAATGGAACTCTGATAAAATGCAATCAGAAAGATCTACTTGAGCTTTCAGCTAGGAGTGAAATGGTTCACCACGGTATCTATTCAACGCAGTAATTTTTCTCGTTTCGATACATGGTACAAAATCTCTATTTTCAGTTCAGTTCGTTTTTCAGTCGGGATCGTTATTCAGTTGGGTTTGGCATAAGGTATAAACATGCTCCTCCATATGACTAGTTCAAAATCGTAATTTTTTGTGGACTTACAGTTTGTAAAATAATTTTTAACAGTCAAATCAATTAAATTGATTGCTTCTATCCATTTGCACATAAATTATTTGACTAAATTAAGTAAAAGAAAGCATAAAACAACAGTTGAATTTTTTTCCTTTCATCAAAATGTACCGTATCGAAAATAACCAAACTGAGACCAAATTTTACGGTACGTATTGAACCGTGGAGGAGGTGTATCATTTCACCCCTACTTTCAGCTCATGTGAGCTAAAAATTTATATCAAACTCACTTAAGATTTTGTTCTGCAGTTGATACAACAGAAACTAACTGCTGAGAAACATAAGTTGTCCGTTCCTTTAGATCCGCCAATCCTTTGTCTCCGGACTTAAGTAACTCATTCTCATTCTCCAGGAATGTCACACGTTTCTGCAATAAACAAACTTACATGTATAATAACTACGTCCACAAGTATGAAAAGCAGGTTCTGTGCAATCAATTTAAGTCTGAAAATTTACTGAATGCTGGAATAAAATACTTGACTTGTTCTGATTTTGTAAAATTACAATTCTTTCTGCAATCAATTTTTGAAGGAGAAAATACTACTTTATAGTGGGGATTTAATTGTGTGGACAAAAAATTCTTGAGCACTTTTATCTATGAAATGATACATTGTGTGGTGGAAATGAATTCAAGGGATTCTTCATACCTTGAAACAGTCAATGACATGTTAACTTCAACAAAATTAAGTCATTTAACAATACTTCTTTCATTTTTTCTTCATATGCATTTTACAAGGATGAAAACTGATACAGTCCCTGAAACGTTCTACTTTCCCACCTGAACGCTGAACGAACGGTGAACGCACGGTGAACGAACGGTGAACGAACGCAGAGTGAACGGTGAGTGAACAATGTGCGAACGGTGAACGCAACTTGGTGAACGATATGTGAACGGTGAGTGAACGCAGAACGCGAAAGGAGCGCGAACGCGAGCGCAAAGTGAACGGTGAACGAACGGTGAACGCAAGATGAACGATTTATTCGGAATGCCTTTGGTCTTTTCCTTGCATTGAAATTATTCTTGTTTTCTATAATTCAAATGTCATAAATAAATATAAATAAAGAATAGATAAACAAAAGAGAAATAAAAAGATAAATAAATAACTAAATAAATAAATAATAAAAATTAAATTCTGCACATACGTATGTTTAAATCGATATTTTAATAACATGATTTCAATCGCCGTCAAACGTGTATTTGTTACCGCGTGTAGTTAAAAAATAAATTAATCTTAT